ACCAACGTGGCAGAGAGTGAAGTGGGCAGCTGGCATAAAACGTGGCCTCGCCGTTTGCCCCATCTACTAAAAGTTAACGCGTCCAATTTTAAGGACTAATAGTAAGAGTTTCAAAACTATGAGGACTAAAAACCATCAAAGTTTCGAGTAGGAACTAAAATCAAATTCGTGTGATACTTAAGGGACGAAAAACATATTTAACCCTTTTTTTGTATTTTTAAATTATGTAAAAAAAAAGTGTCACGACATGGACAATAAGCTACATATGAAATAAATGGAAGATAAAATTATTTTTGTGATTTTGAAGAGTTTTGTATTTTGAAGAGTTTTGTATTTTTTTTTTATGATTTTTAACATAATTGATATAATCGAGAAAAATTAAGGGGACAAAAGAATCATACAAATGTTTACACTTATTTACAAGAAAACTATTTTTTAATTTTTTTATTTAATTATCAAGCAAATCTGAGACTTAACATGACAATCAAAATTATTATGAAAAATGTAATTATCAAGCAAGTCCGAGACTTGACATGACAATCAAAATTATTATTATGAAAGATGTAATTATCAAAAAGTCCAAGACTTGACATGACAATCGAAATTATTGTTATAAGAAAATCAATTATCAAGCAAATTCGAGACTTGACATGATAGTCAATATTTTTATGATTTTGTATTAAAGAAAAACGAAATGGTCTATAAATGAAAATGTAGAATAATAAACAGTAAACACAATTATGGAACAATAAAACAAATTTTAATAAGGTAATTCAAACAAAAAGAAGAAGATCTAAAGAGATAAGAACCTGGATGAGAAAACAAGAATAATCCAATCGAGATACAAGTGAAAAATGGAAGCTTTAGAAGGTGAAGATGTTGATATGAAGGAGAAGAGATGTGTTTAAGTGTTGGATAATGGTTGAGTATGGAGAAGAGATGTATTGTGTAAGAGAAGAATGAAGTAGAGTTTTGGAATGGAAATGAAGAGGTTTAGTGTGAGAGAGAAGAGATGTATATTATGTAATTATGTGTAAAAATGGAGTGAAGAGTATGAGGGTATTTATAGAGTTATTGATGGAGAAAGTTGATGAATAAAAACAATATAATAAGTGGGTGAAAAAATTGGATGACATAAAATATAATAAAAAAAGTAAATAGTAAAAGTTATTTTTGAAAATAAGTGAAAGAAATAATATAAAAAGTGGGTGGAGAAATTAGGTGAAGAAAGTAGATGGAGGAAATAATAAAAAATGTTAATGGGGAAATTATATGGAGAAAGTTGATAAAGAAAAATAATATAAAATGTGAGTGGAAAGAGTAGAGGAAGGAAATAGATGAAAGAAATAATAAAATAAGGTTGGTGGAGAAGGTGGTGGATAAAATATAATTTAGAAAAGTGATACAATAAATAAAAGTTAGTAAGAGAAATTAACATAAAAGAGGCGTGGAAAAGTAGATGGAGAAAATGGATAAAGGAAATAATAAAATATGTTGGTGGAGAAGGTGGTGAATAAAATATGATATAGAAAAGTAAATGGAATAAATAAAAGTTAATAAGAGAAATTAATAAAAAAAAGTGGGATGGAAAAGTAGATGAAGAAAATGAATGAAGAAAATAATAAAAAAAGGTTAGTGAAGAAGGTGGTTGATAAAATATAATTTAGAAAAGTTAGAATAAATAAAAGTTAGAAAGAGAAATTAATATAAAAGTGGGTGAAAAAGTAGATGGAGAAAATGGATGAAGGAAATAATAAAAAAAGGTTGGTGGGGAAGATATAATAAAAAAAGGTAAGTGGAATAATTAGAAAAGTTGGTATATAAAAATTAATATGAAAATGAGATGGAAAAAGTAAATGAAAAAGGTAGATGACGTGGAATGTGATATGGAGGGTAATGTGGATGGTGATGTAGAGAGTGGGGTGTATGAAGAAAAATATGGTGATGAGAAAGTAAAAAAGTGTGGATTATTTTGGACCATTGGGCTAATGGTTAAAAAGTTAATTTCGAGTGCAAACAATAAAACAAATAATATTTTTTATTTTTTATTTTTCATTCTTTTTTTTATTTATGTAATTTTGGAATAAACTTTATTTACCCGGACAAAATTGGATGTTGACACCTGGGCTGTTGTATTGAACTAGCATCTTGTTTATGCCTTAGGGGTTCACCTGCTAAACTCCAATCTTAACTATCTGAGGCAAAAGACTTTATTAACTAGCTACATTTGGAGCTTAAAGGGACCACCGTGACTCATTCAGGTGGCAAGGCAAAATAAGAAGAGACCGCGCGACTTCTTCTTAATGCCCGACAGCTAATGGAGAACACTACCGAGGTTGACCATGTTCGTCAATAGAAGTATGATAACTTGAGCGAGGAAAATTACAAGTTAAGGACACATTTGACCAAGTTATCCACCTAAAATGTCAAGTTGACCGATCCTGGGGGCAAGATGGCTAAGGAGAGGGACTCATTTGCTGCCCGCATGAAAGAATTGATTGTCCATGTTAGGGAGATGAATGAGGCCATCTATCCTAAGCACCAAGCGGGTTTGAGATGGTTATAATGGCAAACAACTTTTCTCTTCAACATCCCCTCCAAGAATGCCAGTTTTGACTTCATGAAGGATGTTTATAATGGCAACTTGATGCTAATAAATGAGATCCCTAATGAGGACATCCATATGGGTGAGGTGGCGACGGGTACGAGCTCCGCCCAGGCTGAGGAACGAAAAGTTGAGGAGCTGACCGAGGAGGCCATAGTCAACATTATAGACTAGGTCTTAGATTAGGTTTAAGTGTTTGTGCATTTTTTTATGGTGGTCGGTTAGCAAACAATCCTTAGGAGATGTTTGCCCATGGGCGCCTAACACTAATTTTATACCTCTTTTAAACACTTAATGAAATTGATCGGTTCGTTCTTGATCGTGCGGTGATTACAATTTGTCATTCAACGACTTCTTTCATTGATTATGATTGGTGAGTATACGAGGAACGTTCCTCACTGCTCGATTCATTCTAGGAATTCACTTGGAACGTTCCCCAGGCTTACGCTTTTTGATGCGATGAGAGTTCACTAAGAACGTTCCTTCCCGATCAATTGGAGCTAGGAGTTCACTTGGAACATTTCTTAAGCTTACGGTTTCTAATATGACGAGAGTTCACTAAGATCGTTCGCCGATCGATTGGCACTAAGAGTTTAGTTGGAACGTTCCTTAGTGTTGATAGGGGGAGTTATGTAAAAGCTCAACCCACACCCTTGTGTGTTTTTTATGATGACAACAACAAAAATGTTAAGTTACTTGCACAACAACAAAAATGTTTTCATATGCAAAGTTGTGTTATATGTTGGCTTGTGCTTGAATTGTTTGGTTTGCATACTTATTGTGGTTATACATGAGTTTATATCTGTGGTATGCATATTCATAGTGTTGAATGATAAAACTCTTTGCACAATGCATATCTGTATGAGTTAATTGATTACAGTGTTTATGTAATCAGTTAGATTCATGAGATATCAACATATGCTTAACTCTGGCAAACTGTAAGTTTTAATCGATTACATTATATGTTGAATCATTAAAACTTGTGTCTTTACTTACACCTGATTGCTGAATGTAGTGATTTTTTTTCAGTTGAAAAAGATTTCAAATTTGCTTAAGTGTCATACTTAACCGATTACACGATTTTCTTAATCGGTTAAATCTCGTGCACACTGAAAATTGTTTTCTTGATAAGTCTTAACTAACATAACGGTCATATTTTGAATTGTTTTGACTTATATTAATTGTGCAATCGATTACATTAAATGTGTAATCTATTAAATTCATTTTAATGTAATTCTGGTATAGCGGTGTTAATTATTACATTAATATTGTAATAGATTAATATGCGTCAGACTTGAGAAAACTATATTTGGAGTTGGAAAGGAGATTGCATTGAGAGATGGTTTCTGTTAATCTTGTTGTATAACTCAATCTTTCTAGTGAAGTGGCTCTCAATCTCAGGTTGATTGAAAGGGACTAGATGTAGGCATTGAGGTTGAACCAGTATAAAAATCTTGGTGTTTGCCTTTCTATCCCTTATCTCTTTTAATGTTTTGCAATCTTTATTTGCTTGTGTTTCAAGAAAAGGTTAAAGATTTTCCAAAGGTTGTAAAAAGAACAATTTTTTATACAAAATCAATGCACCCCCTCTCTTGGTTGGGAAATAAGGCTTATCCATTTCTACACTTAGGCTTATGCTTTTTTCTGCGAACAACGCCATTGGGATGAGTAACTTGTGCCAAGAATTTGTTCAAAGACTCCTAATTTTATTAATCTTCANCCTACTAAAATTGACTAAGCAGAGTATCTGTAAATCTGAACTTGGAATAAATAAAGTTAACTTGGCATAATGCAAAGATGGAATACAACAAGAAGCAGGACATAATATGAAGTGATCCCATACTATTAAATAAGATAAGTAAGTTAAGTGGTCCTTTACCACTGACAAAAAATATTGTAATAGCAGTACTAAATTAAGTTAAGTGGTCCCTTACAATTACATATGATGGTAGATGTTAAAAACAACCATTGTACCCACTACTATTGTTCCCTAAGAGGGTGACTATGACTTACAAAATACATTAAAATAAACGTTTGGCTAAAATAAATCTTCAGTTGGTACTAGCTTGGGACCCTAGATGTTGTGCAGCCAGTAGTCGTGAGGATGTTCTTCTTCCACCTTGGTGACTTGATGCAGGTCCTACTCCACTGCCACTTGTTCCAGGTTGTGATGTTGTTTGAGGTCGTCCTAGTTGAGAAATCCCTCTTCTTGATGTTCCTCCACCTTATGACGTTGATGGAGCTGGTTGTGCTTGAGAACCTCCTGGAGTGGAATTTGCCCTTGTGTCCCTTGTGTTCTATAAATGGAAGTAAGCGACATTGCACTTATCATAGTGTAAATAATTATGAATGTGTAAATAAGTGAAGTTGCAAAAGAGTGATTTTGTACCTTTTTCTATCCCCTTTTACATGTTCTTACATTATGACCAAATTTATTGCAGCTGCTACACTTCATAACAAGATTCTTCTTTGACAATTTTGTATGACTCACATATGGATCAGCCTCCCTTCTTCTTAGTCTTTTAGGTCGCCCAAGGGGTGTTTTATAAACTGGAGGCAGTAGTGCACCAGATTCAGAAGTAGACCACAATTGTTGTCCATTGATTGGAACAATTTTAGGGCCATAACAAGTTTCATAAGCCTTTTTCTTGTAATAAGGATGTACATAGTCTTCAAGGTTTTCTACTTTGTAATTTATGGCAGCCACAACGTGCCTGCAAGGTATTCCTACCAAATCCCAAAAGTAACAACTACATGAATGGTTACTTAAGTCAACTACAAACTTATCCATTGTAAATCCGTGAGTGACTTCAAATTTTACAGCCCCTGTCCAAGTTGGAATCCAATTTCCACTCTTCTCTACTCCCCTATCAAGCCTATTTTGTGATTTAGGCATCACAACTCCTGTATATGTCTTTGTTTTTTCTCTAAGTGTTGCAAACCTACTCATAATGTAAGTTCTAATCCATTCCATCATAGTTATGATAGGTTTGTCTCTAGCTTCCCTATCATCACTCAATAATCTCACATTATTCACCAGCCTTTGTTTCAACCCCTTCCACCATAGTTTGAAGTCTGCATCATACTTAAATTCTTTAACTATTCCAACTGCTTCAAAATACGACCAACGATCCGGATCAAGTCCTTTGATCACGTGTATCTCTCCTTCAACATATTGTAGCCCCTTATTAGTAACAAACTTCCCCATGTGATGCAAACAAATGTCGAAAACCATTTCTAGACCTACATTCAGACATCAACGCTTTACGCCCAAATTGGAACAACCATAACCGAAAAAGAAAAACAATAGCTTAGCTTAAACAACCAACGTGGCAGAGAGTAAAACTACTTTTCCCCAATTGAAAAAATAAACTTTGCCCAATTAAGAACCCTAATTGTTAATCTAATTTCAATCAACAACGTGTCAATCACTTAATCTCATTTCAAAACTTAAACAACCAACGTGGCAGAGAGTGAAGAGGGCAGCTGGCATAAAACGTGGCCTCGCCGTTTGCCCCATCTACTAAAAGTTAACGCGTCCAATTTTAAGGACTAATAGTAAGAGTTTCAAAACTATGAGGACTAAAAACCATCAAAGTTTCGAGTAGGAACTAAAATCAAATTCGTGTGATACTTAAGGGACGAAAAACATATTTAACCCTTTTTTTGTATTTTTAAATTATGTAAAAAAAAAGTGTCACGACATGGACAATAAGCTACATATGAAATAAATGGAAGATAAAATTATTTTTGTGATTTTGAAGAGTTTTGTATTTTGAAGAGTTTTGTATTTTTTTTTTATGATTTTTAACATAATTGATATAATCGAGAAAAATTAAGGGGACAAAAGAATCATACAAATGTTTACACTTATTTACAAGAAAACTATTTTTTAATTTTTTTATTTAATTATCAAGCAAATCTGAGACTTAACATGACAATCAAAATTATTATGAAAAATGTAATTATCAAGCAAGTCCGAGACTTGACATGACAATCAAAATTATTATTATGAAAGATGTAATTATCAAAAAGTCCAAGACTTGACATGACAATCGAAATTATTGTTATAAGAAAATCAATTATCAAGCAAATTCGAGACTTGACATGATAGTCAATATTTTTATGATTTTGTATTAAAGAAAAACGAAATGGTCTATAAATGAAAATGTAGAATAATAAACAGTAAACACAATTATGGAACAATAAAACAAATTTTAATAAGGTAATTCAAACAAAAAGAAGAAGATCTAAAGAGATAAGAACCTGGATGAGAAAACAAGAATAATCCAATCGAGATACAAGTGAAAAATGGAAGCTTTAGAAGGTGAAGATGTTGATATGAAGGAGAAGAGATGTGTTTAAGTGTTGGATAATGGTTGAGTATGGAGAAGAGATGTATTGTGTAAGAGAAGAATGAAGTAGAGTTTTGGAATGGAAATGAAGAGGTTTAGTGTGAGAGAGAAGAGATGTATATTATGTAATTATGTGTAAAAATGGAGTGAAGAGTATGAGGGTATTTATAGAGTTATTGATGGAGAAAGTTGATGAATAAAAACAATATAATAAGTGGGTGAAAAAATTAGATGAAATAAAATATAATAAAAAAAGTAAATAGTAAAAGTTATTTTTGAAAATAAGTGAAAGAAATAATATAAAAAGTGGGTGGAGAAATTAGGTGAAGAAAGTAGATGGAGGAAATAATAAAAAATGTTAATGGGGAAATTATATGGAGAAAGTTGATAAAGAAAAATAATATAAAATGTGAGTGGAAAGAGTAGAGGAAGGAAATAGATGAAAGAAATAATAAAATAAGGTTGGTGGAGAAGGTGGTGGATAAAATATAATTTAGAAAAGTGATACAATAAATAAAAGTTAGTAAGAGAAATTAACATAAAAGAGGCGTGGAAAAGTAGATGGAGAAAATGGATAAAGGAAATAATAAAATATGTTGGTGGAGAAGGTGGTGAATAAAATATGATATAGAAAAGTAAATGGAATAAATAAAAGTTAATAAGAGAAATTAATAAAAAAAAGTGGGATGGAAAAGTAGATGAAGAAAATGAATGAAGAAAATAATAAAAAAAGGTTAGTGAAGAAGGTGGTTGATAAAATATAATTTAGAAAAGTTAGAATAAATAAAAGTTAGAAAGAGAAATTAATATAAAAGTGGGTGAAAAAGTAGATGGAGAAAATGGATGAAGGAAATAATAAAAAAAGGTTGGTGGGGAAGATATAATAAAAAAAGGTAAGTGGAATAATTAGAAAAGTTGGTATATAAAAATTAATATGAAAATGAGATGGAAAAAGTAAATGAAAAAGGTAGATGACGTGGAATGTGATATGGAGGGTAATGTGGATGGTGATGTAGAGAGTGGGGTGTATGAAGAAAAATATGGTGATGAGAAAGTAAAAAAGTGTGGATTATTTTGGACCATTGGGCTAATGGTTAAAAAGTTAATTTCGAGTGCAAACAATAAAACAAATAATATTTTTTATTTTTTATTTTTCATTCTTTTTTTTATTTATGTAATTTTGGAATAAACTTTATTTACCCGGACAAAATTGGATGTTGACACCTGGGCTGTTGTATTGAACTAGCATCTTGTTTATGCCTTAGGGGTTCACCTGCTAAACTCCAATCTTAACTATCTGAGGCAAAAGACTTTATTAACTAGCTACATTTGGAGCTTAAAGGGACCACCGTGACTCATTCAGGTGGCAAGGCAAAATAAGAAGAGACCGCGCGACTTCTTCTTAATGCCCGACAGCTAATGGAGAACACTACCGAGGTTGACCATGTTCGTCAATAGAAGTATGATAACTTGAGCGAGGAAAATTACAAGTTAAGGACACATTTGACCAAGTTATCCACCTAAAATGTCAAGTTGACCGATCCTGGGGGCAAGATGGCTAAGGAGAGGGACTCATTTGCTGCCCGCATGAAAGAATTGATTGTCCATGTTAGGGAGATGAATGAGGCCATCTATCCTAAGCACCAAGCGGGTTTGAGATGGTTATAATGGCAAACAACTTTTCTCTTCAACATCCCCTCCAAGAATGCCAGTTTTGACTTCATGAAGGATGTTTATAATGGCAACTTGATGCTAATAAATGAGATCCCTAATGAGGACATCCATATGGGTGAGGTGGCGACGGGTACGAGCTCCGCCCAGGCTGAGGAACGAAAAGTTGAGGAGCTGACCGAGGAGGCCATAGTCAACATTATAGACTAGGTCTTAGATTAGGTTTAAGTGTTTGTGCATTTTTTTATGGTGGTCGGTTAGCAAACAATCCTTAGGAGATGTTTGCCCATGGGCGCCTAACACTAATTTTATACCTCTTTTAAACACTTAATGAAATTGATCGGTTCGTTCTTGATCGTGCGGTGATTACAATTTGTCATTCAACGACTTCTTTCATTGATTATGATTGGTGAGTATACGAGGAACGTTCCTCACTGCTCGATTCATTCTAGGAATTCACTTGGAACGTTCCCCAGGCTTACGCTTTTTGATGCGATGAGAGTTCACTAAGAACGTTCCTTCCCGATCAATTGGAGCTAGGAGTTCACTTGGAACATTTCTTAAGCTTACGGTTTCTAATATGACGAGAGTTCACTAAGATCGTTCGCCGATCGATTGGCACTAAGAGTTTAGTTGGAACGTTCCTTAGTGTTGATAGGGGGAGTTATGTAAAAGCTCAACCCACACCCTTGTGTGTTTTTTATGATGACAACAACAAAAATGTTAAGTTACTTGCACAACAACAAAAATGTTTTCATATGCAAAGTTGTGTTATATGTTGGCTTGTGCTTGAATTGTTTGGTTTGCATACTTATTGTGGTTATACATGAGTTTATATCTGTGGTATGCATATTCATAGTGTTGAATGATAAAACTCTTTGCACAATGCATATCTGTATGAGTTAATTGATTACAGTGTTTATGTAATCAGTTAGATTCATGAGATATCAACATATGCTTAACTCTGGCAAACTGTAAGTTTTAATCGATTACATTATATGTTGAATCATTAAAACTTGTGTCTTTACTTACACCTGATTGCTGAATGTAGTGATTTTTTTTCAGTTGAAAAAGATTTCAAATTTGCTTAAGTGTCATACTTAACCGATTACACGATTTTCTTAATCGGTTAAATCTCGTGCACACTGAAAATTGTTTTCTTGATAAGTCTTAACTAACATAACGGTCATATTTTGAATTGTTTTGACTTATATTAATTGTGCAATCGATTACATTAAATGTGTAATCTATTAAATTCATTTTAATGTAATTCTGGTATAGCGGTGTTAATTATTACATTAATATTGTAATAGATTAATATGCGTCAGACTTGAGAAAACTATATTTGGAGTTGGAAAGGAGATTGCATTGAGAGATGGTTTCTGTTAATCTTGTTGTATAACTCAATCTTTCTAGTGAAGTGGCTCTCAATCTCAGGTTGATTGAAAGGGACTAGATGTAGGCATTGAGGTTGAACCAGTATAAAAATCTTGGTGTTTGCCTTTCTATCCCTTATCTCTTTTAATGTTTTGCAATCTTTATTTGCTTGTGTTTCAAGAAAAGGTTAAAGATTTTCCAAAGGTTGTAAAAAGAACAATTTTTTATACAAAATCAATGCACCCCCTCTCTTGGTTGGGAAATAAGGCTTATCCATTTCTACACTTAGGCTTATGCTTTTTTCTGCGAACAACGCCATTGGGATGAGTAACTTGTGCCAAGAATTTGTTCAAAGACTCCTAATTTTATTAATCTTCACAATGCTTTACATTGGAGTTTTAACTGAAATAAAATTTAAGATGCGACACATTTCAAGAGATCGATTTCTCATTCGTATGTTCGAACCAATATGCCCCGCTCCTTAAATCTTCAACAACTCTGAACCAGCATTCCCAATTTGTGACGAACTTCCCATATATATGGTTCCTTTTCACTTTACACGTCTTTCTCCATACCAAATCTCCCTCTAAAAAGTTTTGTGGTCTAACCTTAATATTGTAGCTTCTAGCGATCATTCTCTCATGGGCTTCTACTCGCACCGTTGCTTCCTCTCTTTCCGGCAGTGTTCATATAAGTATTTATTTCTCCTTTATTACTATATATTCTAAATCTTTCTCACTTTCTCGTATTTATATATCTTATATAAAGTTAATGTGGTGTTCAAAGTTCTAGAGAATGTTATAGTTATTTATTTGCTGTCATGTCATGAGTA